CTACATTTGTAGGAACTAGTCTATTGGGAAAAATTGAGGACATAGTAGAGGAAATTTTGGAATACATCTCCACTATCCATTATTGTATTACTATTCTACAGGAACAAGAATTTGTGTAAGAACAGCTAGAAACCATAATGCTAATCCATTCTATTGAGGAAGAAGGCTATAGCTTTGTTGATCAGGGATTTACCTCTACACTTCCTAAAGACACAGGAGAAGAGAATATTTGCAATTACCACACTACTGGAATTTCCACTTCTGTACATATTGATCTACACTGTATGTCTCAGAATACTCAAGAGCTGAAACACTATATCTCCCCAGGAACTCCACCGATTCTTTTCGAAAAGTGTTGTATCAATAGTAACAATTAAGAGGCAACTTTCCTACTAATTGACTATACAGTAATATTGACTACATTTAATTCTATTGATGTTTTATCTAGTTTCACATAGTTTGAAACCATGCTACTCACTGTCTGGAACACCACCACTGTCTCAATATGTACCAGATCAACTTTGGATCAGTTCAGAGAGGCAGTACTACATCACAACAATGTTTCCCATACGTATGAGCAAGGTATTTTATTATTTACTAGTTACTAACTGTTACTTTTAAGTAAGTTCTCTGCCTTTTCTACTGATTTTTAGCATTTAGGACTAAATGCTAGAGGGCAAGTGTAAGGATTTGATTTACTGGTTTGTATTTTACTATTACTACATTGCTGATTGTGTCAGATCATTGTACAGTAGGACCCACAAGCACATATATTCTCATTGTAGTTAGTTACACTTCCTCCTCATGTATCTACATGTGTATACCCTTATAAAAGACAGTATTGACTGCTGGGTAAAAGGGATTCTTTTCCCCTGACCCCTTACTCAAGTACTAGGTTATCCCAGTCAGTAGTTGAGTGAACTAAAGGCAATTAGAATTCTCTTGTAAGGAACAGTGAGTTTCCTTACACTTAGTTTATTAATAGAAAGTAGTGTCTGATAGTGTTCTGATTAGAATCTCTCTCTATAACAAAACAGAACTATTTTATCTATAACAAGGAACTCCTTACAATTGTCTGCTCTCTAGAGGAGTAGTATTAATATCTCCTTAGTACTGTGTAGAAGTTTAAGATTTAGAGTAATTACTTTAATCTCTAGTACTTTTAAGTACTTTAGAAGCTCAACTACTATTAGGCCTACTAGATGTTAGAACTATAGAACTATAACTTTGTACTAACTCACAAACCTAGAATACAAATGACAAAAACTGATTTACTCTTAAGACAAGTAGGTTATGAAAGGGGAGAGAATAATAACAAAAATCTTGTTCTCCTAAACAATTCCTATTTTGTGTCTGAGACAATCTGAGAGATCTGACTTGAATCTAAGAATGTTAACTTTGTTACTTACATACAGTAAACTCTAAGATACACACAGGACTAGGTTGTAGTAAAGTAGTTAGAGAAGTAGGCTAGGGACTAGGAGGAGGATAAGAATGGACAAGTTTACTAGGAAGGCTGACTGTATGTTCTGAAGAATCAGAAACTGTAGGAGGACATTGTCTGAGCTTATTATAACAATCTAACTATAGAACATTTAGGCCAACACAAAATGTAGGAACTTATTACTCAGAACTACTAGTAGCTAGGAATATAGAGGGAAATCCTAAAGTATGTGACTAGTTATAATATGTACTAACAGACTAAAGCTTACTAGACAAGGGTTTAGGCTCTCCTACATTTGTATCAGATTCTGAATCACTCTTAGGAAGAAGTCTTAGTAGACCTAATTAGTAAGCTACCTAAGTCTTAGAGTTATAATACTATCTGTGTAATTGTTGACTGATTCTCTAAGTAAGTTTATACAGTTCTAACCTAAACAGAACTCACTTCTGAAAGTATAGTATACATTTATCAGAATTATGTCTTCTAATTGTATGAACTCTCTCAGAAGCTCATTCACAATTATAGACTACAATTTGAGTCAAAATTCATACAGGACTTGTATGTGCTTCTCAGAATTTAAGGAAACCCTTCTACTATATATTACTTATAGACTAATAGTCAAACTGAGCAAGTCAATCAGGAGATTGAGCTCTATCTCTAAATGTTTATTAATTATTAGTAGTCAGACTAGTCTGAATAGTTAGCTCTAACAGAATTTGTGTACAATAACTAGTAATACTCTATAACAGGACAGTCCCTATTCTTCCTCAATCATAAGAGACATTCATACTAGGGGACAGTTCTAAACTAGAACAGTAGTTCTGAGTCTATAACAGACTTTGTAGAATGGATACACAAGACTAGGAAAGACATACAAGCTCTTTTAGAGAAGGTAGTATAAGTAATAAAGTAGAACTATGATTAGAAGAGATCTGTAGCCAAGGATTACTAGTCTGAGGACAAAGTTATACTAGAAGCTACTAATCTAACTACAGATTGCTTAATAAAGAAGTTAGACAATAAGTGCTTTAAACCCTTCATTATTGAAAAGAAGGTTAGTGTCTCTACCTACAAACTCTAACTTCTAGTAACATAGAAGCACATACACCCAGTGTTCAACAAGGTTCTGTTGTCTTAGTACTACAATCTAGGTTTTCCTTTACAATAAAGACTCCTACTGTCTCTGCTAGAACTTATTAGTTCTAAACTAGAATACAAAGTAGAGTACATAGTAGATACTAAGCTAGTGTACAGAAAGCTTAAGTTCCTTATTTACTAGAAGGGATACTCAGTTAAAGAACACACTTGGGAACCTGTCAAGAATCTCACCCATACTACTAAGGTAATTCAAGACTTCTATTAACTTTATCTGAGTACTCTGTATTAACTCTACCTTACAGATTTCTAAACCCTACTGTTCTAACCTATACCTAAGTTGTTAACCAAGCCTAATGTTCACCAATTAGAACAATTGGTTTTAGAGGGGGGGTGATGTTATAGTTCTCTACTCTTGTACCTTCAGTTCTAAGGGTTCTACACTCTTCTGTACTAGAACTCAGGACTTCTGTCTCTTAGGAGTACTGTCTATAGACTATATACATACTGACTCTTACTACTACTCCTCCTTACTTTATTATTCTATTCCTTTGACCACCCTTTCATTCTTTGTTCATTCTACAGTCTCTTACTCTTTGTCCATCCCTTCATTCTTTGTTCCTTTATCTTTGACCTTCCTTTCTTTCATCCTTTATAGCTTATCATTCTTAGTAGCTCATACTCCCTGAGTACTCTTATATAGTTTAGTATATTTAGGCATACAAGATCAGACTAGTTCTGTAGTCTTGATCTTGTCTACTCTAGGTAGTCCTGTACTCCTAGGCTCACTCTATATACTTTACTCTTGTCTCACTCTCTCTCTCTGTCTGTTCTACAAGTTCTGACTATGTTCTAGTACTCACATTCTATATTTCTGTTGTGTAGGATAGTTGTAGCCTGGGTCCCCTTGCTGAGCCTTCAGGTCCCCTCTATACTGTTACTGACACCCAGGACTCTGGACTGATTATATAATATAAGTTAAAATAATTTTGTCTTATTAACATTTTATATAAGATAGATATACTACTAAGTACTATTATAATATGTTTCTGAGTATATGTAGGCTTATATGTATTAGAATACAATTGTTTTTACTATTTGTATTATACTAAGTGTAAAATACAAGAAATCCTGGTGTAATGGCAATTAGTTCCCACGGTTTATGTAACAGCCGTTTATGTCTGTAAGACACTGTATAGTTCATTTGTATGCCTAAAGAGTATACAATACACAATACAAATAGTCTACATTCATGTAAGAGTAGTTTACATCTATTAGGCTCTGTACAGTCCATTCGTATGCCTTAAGGAAGTGGTATCTACAGTATAAACGGTCAACAGTCTGGTCCAGGGTCCAGGCAGTCTAAGACAGTCCGGAAATGTTTGTCAAAGCTGGACTACAGACTGGACCCTGTTGGACCACACTGGACCAGACCTCAATTGGACCGGACCAAAGGTCCAGTCCAGGTCTGGACCCGGTCCACAGCGGTCCTGGACCAGACAGCGGCAACTATACTTTCTACGCATACAGAAAACAGTTAAGTGCATCAAGGGTTAATGTTATGCAAACTTCAAAATACTGGCTTTGTATGTTCTAGACTCCTCAATTGCTCTAATAGAGAAACATAATCTCTATTGTATCGAAGTTGATACCATCAGGAAAGGGCGAAAAGAAAAATTGAAAAGAAATGAATTGAATATATTGACTGGTTCATTACATAACATTATGGAAAGGTGAAGACGAACGAGCAAAACGCCTTTCTGGAAGTTGGACCCGTTCATCATACAATCTGAGCTGCCTTCTTACTCGAGCCAACTCTGTGCAACCCTATACATTACAATAGTGAGCAATGGACGCTATAGGAAATATCATAAATAAACTGACATTACGCTGGCTACAATTATGTAACGTGCTCGATGTGAAGTCAATGATTTTGAACGAGCCGTTACTGTCACGGACAATGTTTCGCGGTTCCAAGTCGCCATGATAAACCCCAAGTTTGTGAAGTGTCAATATTGCTTCGTACAGTCCACGCCTACAGTGTTGTTAACAAGGTTTGGACAAATGCTGATCTACAATACTCACCTCTCATCGCGTGTCAGTTCTGGCCAATTCTCATCACGGCTGAGCACATCTCCTTCATAATCCATCACCAATGCTAGCGTTCGCGTTGATTCGAAAAGTCCATAACACTGCGGTACAATCTTCATAGACACTGAGGATGCCTGACCGATGCGGCGATATATAGCGAGTTCGTTGAGCAGACGTCGAGTACAACCTTTCTCTTGGTCTGTCTCACCCTTCCCAATCGTTTTTATTGCATATCTCCGAGATTCTAAAGCTCCATTGTGTTCGTCGCCATCAGGAATCACCTCGAAAACAGTCCCGGTTGACCCATATCCAATGCCGCGCTGGACATGGAGTCGAATGGTGCCCTTGTTCAAAGGCGGGAATGTATCAGTGTCCACAGCATGAAATTCAAGCCACTTCTTATTCGACATGGTTTTTGGTGCCCACGTGATCTGAAAATGGTTCAATCAATGAAGTTATGAATTGGGAAAAATACTCACAAGAAAGCCAGGAGACAAAGCTAATAAATTGCCACGCCTACTACGAGACCGAGTTTCCGGTGGCTCATCCCTTGTCACTTGGCCTCGACCTTTAAAAGATGGATCGCGCTGCTCCGGCGGTTCGGGTCCATTAGACTGTCCCTCAATTACGGATACTGGAGCTGGCCGAAGCTGCCCATCCATGTTGGCGTTGGAGGGGACATCGATATCCCTTGCAATGGCCATCATCATCCCGAGCAACGCACGGAACGGCCTAGTATTGTCTAGTTGCTCTTCGATGGTCGAATATGTCATGTATGGTACTTCGCCTGCACCGCGACTATGGAGTCGGAGGAACACCCAATTCGTGTAACACGTCAACGCGAGCCATTCTACTTTGTACAAGACCATGTACACATACGCCTGAGAGAATTGATTCAACAAGAAAATTCTTGAATGTCCTTCGACCACATACCTTGACAATGACTTTCATTCCTGTGTCGGGCGACCTCAAATTCAATGGTACCCGGAGGCCGACTTCGTCATTGAATAGTCTATAAAATTCTTCTGCAGCGAGGTCGAAGACACTTGGAGCCTTTACTTCAACCAGAGCCTTCTTGCCCTCCGTCATGGATAACACGAAGTCTACCTTGGACCTGACATTCGGAGGTGAACATTCACGGTCGATATCAATGGGATTCTCGTAAGATGACATGATCCGGTTCAGTATGATTAGCTGCCCACGATCTACACAGGCTCTTGCCTAGAAATTATAAGGTGTGGAAAGTGACTTCACAACAAGAGGTGGTGCTTACATCCACTTCGTTTCTAATTCTATGATTACCGGTCGCTTCGTCGGCATAGAGTTGCTGGAATCTTCCATTAATAGGTTCAGGAACAGGATCCTCACCAAGCTGGTCATTGAGAACATTGATCAGAGCATCAACCAACTGTGCATCACGGCGAGCCTCAAATTCTGTTTCATCCGACTCCCAGCTGGACAACACTTGCTGAAGTTCGACATCGGTCACGGCAGCGGATCCCGTCTGGCGACTGTTGACGGGTGGACAGTAGAATTTGGCTTGTTCTCGTAGGTAGTCTCTGAATAATTCCATGGTGTCAGGCCTTCAGACGAGCTTGCAGTGAACGGTAAGTAGTAAGGTAGGTGGCTCACCGTGGCTTAACCCTAAATTAGAAACGAGGGCACGGTCATGTGATTAGCACGTGAGTTTGTTCCCAGGGCCAGGGTAAAGCTAAGTACCAGTCAATCTACGCAACGTTCTATGTCCTATGTTATGAATTTGCTGCATAATGCTGCATGTGATTTGACGGCAACAGGGACAGGTATATTTTCTGCAGTGGAGCATGAAAGCTTACCTTTTCCTACTGCCCGAAATACCTGCCGCATTGAGTATCCACAAAATACAAGTAAGTTTATTTACTCTCGCCTGTTACAGTAGATTCGGCCAGGTGCACTGTTCGCTTGTGTGAGATGTTGTGATTCCCAGAATGAACAGATTTGTGTATGGTCGGGCATGTTCCTTTCGGACTTGCACTTCCACACCAGGAGCAAACTGGTATTCTCTCAAAGCATTTGAGCTAGTCATGATTATAATGCTTCTGTGTCTCTTGCATGACCTTCAAAGTCGAATATCTCTGCAGCCTCTGCTTGCCCTTTTCAAAATCTACATCTCTAAGCTTGTTTTCTTCTTCTTTAGATAATAATATGAGAAATGGTTTTAAATGGCCTACATGGGCGCTGCAACAGTAAAGGGTATAGTGTATGAGTTTGCTTCTCATCTTCCCTCATCCCACTTCCAAATGTGTGCTAACATCCAGGGTCTGTCTGTCAACCCAACTCTATAATTCCAGTCCAACCTAATGTTGTTGCGCTTTTCAGTGGTCCGTCTTGACAATCTACAATGGGATGTTCTGTGGCATAGGAAACAACCGAACCTCTATGTCAGCATATGCCTTGGCAGTGTTCATCAGAAGACACACACGGTAAAGAAAAAATCGAACGCTTGGGACGAGACCCTATCATTGTACGTGCACCATCCACTCTGATTCAATGTCAGGAACTCATGTTAGCAATGCAGCCCAACAGCAGATGCGTCCACGATCGTCTCGATCAATGTCCTGCACAAATCATCAATCCCATTTCGAGATGATATCTGCATCGGTTCAATCAATATTGAACTCAGCAACTTATCTGGAAGATGTTTCAATGGGCCGAGTGGGTCTTAATTTGTCTTTTCATCCACAATTGCTCACCATGAGCTAATGTTAGCTCGTCTTGCTCTCGATGCGCCTGTGGGGAAGAATTACGGAAAGCTTACTCTGGTCGTTCATCTGCAGGATACAACCATCAGGTCTGTGGACCTCGGCCCTGATGTCAATACTGCGATTAAGTTGGCATGTGGACTGGAACGCCCTATCGGGGCCCATAATTCGGCGGAACAAGGGCCATCGATACTGAATTCAGAGAGGGTTTTGGGGATGTCTATGTTGGCACTAGTTGAAAAGACTGGAACACTTGTCGACATCATTGATAAGTTATCCACTGTACGTCCTTGATGTGCTATGGCTTCGGCAGAGTTTGCTCATTGGTAACAGCTTCATCCATATGTGAATGCGGCTTGGCAGCTGGCGTCGGCGTTGTACAAGGTATAATTGGTCCAGCCTGATATGTTCTTATATACCTAGATTCATATGTTCTCTAGGCTGTATCTCATCAGATCGAAACAGATTGCGAACTCGTCCATTTGGTTCATTTCATGGCGGATTCCTAGGATTTTGTAGCCGATATCAAATCACTTCCCAACAAGATCAATAGGCTGAAGCAGACAATCGAAAGTCTCTCGCAGCAGACGATCGAGTGCTGCAGATTTGTCCTGCACTATACTGATCGAAACTTCCCTGGTATGTCGATATCCTTGTGCAAAATTCAATGGGGAGTAATTTTCAATATCAGAACGGATGATCCAGATGAGCCGGCCAAAAATCAATGAGTTTGCTGAGCGTTTTGGAGGCCTTAAGATGTCGATTGAGCAGGGAATCGCTCTACAGACCGCATTTGTCTCCGCGCAAATGTCCGTTAAAGTTGATAATATTCGTAAGTTAAACACCATATTGTGAGACGTGTTAGCTGAGAACACCTCGACCAGAGCTCAAGCAGTTACTCTGTCCAAGCGACATGAACGCATTCGAACGCAGGCAATGCCTTAAAGATACACGTGTAGAGGTTCTGGACGAAATCAAGAAGTGGCTTTTATCAGACACCAATCGGAACATTTTATGGCTTCGTGGCATTGCAGGTTCTGGAAAGAGCACTATCGCGACGACAATCGCAGAACATTGTCGTGGCATGCCGCGTCTCGGAGCATTTCTGTTTTTCAACCGAGCTGACGCTGCTGATGATCGGCTTACTTCCATCTTCCGTACGATTGCTTTCCAGCTGGCCTTGTTCGACTCATCAATAGCGAAATACATCGCAAGTGCTGCACAGAAGGGTGGACATAATGCAACAGCAGAAGTCCAGTTCAGGGAACTTCTTATGAAGCCACTCACTGCAGTGAGAGATAAGGTACATGGCCCGATCATTATCATCCTTGATGCACTGGATGAGTGTGGCACGCCTGAGGCTCGACGGAGCTTAATGACGCTTCTCAGAAGCCCCTCTCAATTCTGTTGAAATGGCCGATTTATTTTCGGCATGGCAAGTTTTAGTAAGGGTAGAGTAAGGGTCGATGTAAGAGACCCTAGTCAGGCACATGTAATTTATCCTTTTTAAGACGCATTTTTTTCAAGCGAATTCAAGAGCTCTCGAGCTCTTGAATCTCGTCGGACTTTCAATATGAAGATTACATATACAACTCAAGTAGCCTAAGCTAAGTAAAACTACTCTCATAATTAAGCAACAAGAGTAGTGAGTGTATATATTCAGTATACCAAGTCTCCTTACTGTAATCTAACAAAATTATAAGTAAAATAAATTTCTTTTACTTAGAAAATATTTATAACTTGTATTTAACTATTATTTACACAAGCCACAGAAGGAAAAAATCAACTGATAATCTCAATTCATCAGTTGATTTACATTTCTTGGCACAGGGTTGTAAGATCCTATCCCTGTACTGTAGTGAAATTTCAATTGAAAAAAAAAATAGAATTGAGAGGGGCTAGAAGGGAGTTTAAAAGGTTACCCTCTAATTTCTGATTCCTTATTACAAGCAGACCTGAGGACAACATTACTAAGGAGTTAGTATTGAATGTTAATAATTCAGTATACAAACTTGCTTTGAATGTTAGCTTAGATGATTACTGAGTGTTCTACACTATATTAATTATGAGATTAATAATGTTTTTAAGGACAAGATACTGAAAGACTAGAGTACATATAGGACACAACTTACACATGCCTCTCAAGGCCTGTTCATTTAAGTATTAACTATAATCAAGCTAGTTAAGGAGAACCCTAGTTAGTATGAACAACTATAAAAAATTGTTAGGAAGTCACATCTACTTTATAGTCTTAACTAGTTGTAAGTTGTATTATTTCTACATTCAAACCCTGAGTCCTACAGCTCTTTTTAGGTTAGCTCCAACTGGCCACTCACAAATCAACTTGAATTTTACTAAGTCAAAATAATGTTATTTCTCTAAGAAAATATATATTCCCCTCCCTCAAGCCTAACTAACACTCAACTCAACACCTAAATCTAACAACCTAAACTGAACCTAAATCTAATTGGGTAGACAGAGCCCCTCAACTTCTTAGTCTGTAAAGTAGCATACAAGTATTATGTAAGTGGCCAGTCAGGGTTGTCCCAAAAAGAGCTGTAAGACTCAGGGTTCAGATGTAGAAAGTTAAAACTGTTAGTTGTATAGATTAGTTATTATAAGCTCTAGAGTTGTCTCAGAACACTACTCTTTATTTATAACTTACTTCTTACAAATCTTTAGTCTTATCTTTATAGTTTCCTTTATTGTTATTTATTTTGACTCTAAAATCTGACTTATTACTTCTTACAAGTTTTAAAATTCATTTGTCAGCTCTTATCAGATCATACACCTTATTTTACAGTTCCTATCAAATTACATATGTAACCTCTAAAGTTACACATGTGACTTTAGTTAAGTATATAAAGGGCTATTTGTAGACACTTAGAGATTATCTTTGTACTTACTCCTATACTTAGGTTGACCTCTCTAATCCCAGGTCTTTACCTGTTCTATGTTCTTGAGTAAGGCTCTAGCCTTTACACTTTTTTTTGAACATTACAAAATTTAGGAATTACCTCTTATCTACTACCTTTCCCTTGTACTACCAGATTGTCAGCCTCCCCCTAGCTTCCTCTCACATGTTTACTATCTATTATACATTTACAGTACTCTATAGTAAGACTCTAGTTAATTACAAGCATTATAAATACTATGTAAATATTCTGTTCTCTCTTAAGAGCTTATAAGGAGATTGTTACCACCTGCTAGCTAACCTTCAATCTCCTAACAGACTCTTATTAGAGGTCCTAGGCTTCTAGGAGAATGTACTATAAAGATTGTATATAGTTGTGCTAGAGTAGAGTGTGTTGTACATTATTGTGAGTCTGGTTAGCTGTCTACAATTAAGGTTCTGCTACTTAAGAATATACTTTACTGTACTACTTTAAGTAGATTATTTATAGACTTGCTCTTACTCATAACCTTTCTACTACTTGTTACAATCTCAAGCTAGTGTCTAAAAACAAGCTGTAAAAGCTCTTACTATCCTATTCCTAAAATTGTTCAAGAAGAACACTATCTTAGTACTACTACTAAGATTAGAAGCTACTATACAATTACTCTACTAGAACACTGTTAAGAAACAAGCTGTAGAAGGACCTACTGTCCTAGTCCTGAAATTGTGTAAGGAAGTACTATCTTAATACTATTACTAATATCTGGAACTGTAGTGTAATTCTCTTTAGGAGCTGTAGGTTCTATACTAACAGATACTGTCTACTTTTAGTACAACAGATGTTATAATCAAGCTGTTAACTATAGTATATTTGTTGTATACTTGTTATACCTACTATAATGTATATCTCTCTATTATTAAGGTGTTTGTTAAGACTGTCTATTCCTTACTATACTATCTCTTACTCTGTCACTGTCTAGTGTCTACTATTATTGTTTACTGTCTACTAAGAGTATAAAGTCCCTTTCCCTTCCTTTCCTGTTTCTTAGAGTATAAAGCCCTTTTTCCAGTTGTAAACCTAGTTAGGGTACCAAGCCTCTACTAGTGTCAATTCTAGTCCTAAACATATAGGGCCTCTACTAGTATTACCTCCTGTTTCCTAGAGTATAAAGTCCTTTTTCTAGTTGTAGACCTAGTCAGAGTACTAAGCCCTTACTAGTATTAACTCTAGTCCTAAATGTTTAGAGTCTCTACTAGTATTACTTCTAGTCCTAGACCTAGCTAGAGTATTAAGCTCCTACTAGTGTCATTCTTAGTTATAGACCTAGCTAAGGATTATACCCTACTAGTATTATCTAGTCCTTTTCTGTCCTGTCCTGTCCTGTCCTATCCTGTCCTGTCCTGTCCTGTCCTGTCCTGTCCCCCTTTGTCCTTCTAGTATAAACAGACCTTCTATTACCTCTACATACTCTATTTTACTTACACACTACTTGTACTCTTATTACTCTCAGAATTAGTGTGTCAATTTTGTCAACCTAGTCCTTCTACTCCTTCTAGTACTAACACACACCTGAGAATAACTGTTTACTTCTTAACCATGTGTTTTAATCATTTTTTTTTCTCTCCTAAGTAACAAGTACTAGTATAACTAAAGAGTTGTTAAGTTCTCTTTATTATACACTCTAACTTTCATACTCCTTTTTACTCATACTACTAAACAACTCTTATTACCTCTGACACCCAGCCTACTGTTAGTTAAACAAGACCTTCTCAGTTGTCTTCTCCTTATCTGTAGTAACACTAACTTACTAGACCTGTTAGGTATCATTCACATATTCCTTACAGTACTGTTTAACATCTCAACCATGTGTTTTGGTTAACATCTCAGTTGTCTTCTCCTTATCTATAGTAACACTATACTCACTACTTACTAGACCTGTTAGGTATCATTCACACATTCCTAGCAGTACAGTTTTATGTCTTAACCATTATGTACTCCTTGTCCCTATCCTTGTCTCTGTGTGTTTTCATTAACAAGTTGAAACCTTCTTAAACTTGTGACTGTGTGTTCCTTATCTTTTGTTCTTACCCTTTTGTATTTCCCCTCCCCCCCTTACTATAATCTTCTATTTTACCTCCCCCTCCCTTTACTATATCCTTTCCTTTACCTCTCTATTAATTACTTCCCTACTCTCTCCTTTTATTTCTTCAGAGTAGGGAAGAGTGTAATCTCTAAGGTTACACACATGACTTTAGTTAAGTATATAAAGGGCTATTTGTAGACACTTAGAGATTATCTTTGTACTTGCTCCTGTACTTAGGTTGACCTCTCCAATCCCAGGTCTTTACCTGTTCTGTGTTCTTGAGTAAGGCTCCAGCCTTTACAACATACTCTATCTTACAAGTCTGATCATTTACACTAATCCTATTAAGTGCTCCTTGACTTCTGGTTTCAACTCCAGCTCTAAGATAGGAATCATAATACCAGTTACTGTCTTATTAACCTTGGTCTACAAAATTAACTAAGATTATACAATAAAGGACCCAGGTCACTCTAAAGAAAAAAAGACTCAAACATTAGTAATTCTCACAAACAATGTTCTGTATGTGATGAATCTCCTGGGCAACAACCTATTTGTGTTTGGCTTTACAAGCATTCTCCTGGTTCAACAGACTGTTTAACATCCATGTATTATAATGTACAAGTAGATTTTTGGTGGCTTAGAGGCTAAATAGTACAATACTGTATATTAATATTAATGTACTGTCCAAAACTAGTAATAAATAGTAAAATTAGCAAATTTATTTTGCTTACCTATACATATTCCAAATCAACAGTGTCTGGGGGGATTCTTATTTTGCCTATCTTATTCATGCCTTACGTCACCCAAATTTGCTCGGACTTGTACCTCCAATCTTGTCTTACATCGTGTGACGTTCCTTGTATTTCGTTCGGATTTCTACTCAGTACTTGCTCTTTGTATTAAAATTAAATAGCGATAACGGTTTCCATACATCTTACTGAGCAAGGAACCACTTTCAGATATTACAATTGATGCAATCCTGGGCTTTACATCCAAAAATGACCAATCATGCAATTTTCTTTCGAAGTTGCAGAGTGTAGTCGCATTCACCCCTGGAAACCCAGTGTACCTTTATCACACGTCATTCGCAGATTATCTCTTGTCCACACACTGCTCCCAACTGCGCAGCAAGCATAAGAACCCTTCCGAATGCCTATCCGACCCATGGTTCATTGACAAGGCCTCTCGACAGTCGGATATTGCTTTGCAATGTTTTACAGTCATGGAGAAAATGCTCCATTTCAATATGTGCAATTTCAAATCGTCTTTTATATACAATGAAAAGACCACTGGGATTGAGGACATCAACAAGAAGTTACTGCCGCATCTGCAATATGCGTGCAAATACTGGGCACAGCACCTTTCTGACTCTCCGTACTCGCACGAATTGCTGGGAAAGCTAGGGAAATTCGTGCACGAGCATCTACTATACTGGTTCGAGGTGCTGAGTTTGCTATGTCAGGTTGGTCGAATTGCAAGCCGAGCACTTCTGGATACCGCTGCATGGTCCGAGGTGAGTACAGTCGGCTGCAATCGTCTACAGACACTGATTCTTGACTAGAAGTATGATGCAGAAATTTCTTCATTCTTAGCAGACTTGTGTCTACGTTTGCTATTCCCATGACCGAAAGCACTTCCCATATTTACGTCTCCATGCTCCCACTCATGAGGGATGAATCGGAGGTGGCAGCTCACTATTCGAAGCGAACATCCCGGATGGTGGAGGTGGATCGAATAGGGACGAAACGGCCACCGATGTGGTTGAAAGTCTTGGAGGGGCATTCGGATATTGTCTGGTCTGTCGTGTTCTTGCCTGGTGGGGAGTGTGTTGTGTCAGGCTCCAATGACGGAACAGCCAGAATATGGGACGTTGAGAGTGGTCAGATGCTATGCGAACTTTCTGAAGAGAACGGAGCCGCTGTCACTTCTGTTGCGTTCTTGCCAGACGGCCGTCGCATTGCCTCTGGGTCGAAGGACTCAGCAGTCCGAATTTGGGACGTCGAGTCGAGGGAGGTGGTCCTGGGGCCATTTAAGGGACATACAAGAAGTGTGTGGGCTGTTATGTTTTCACCTGAGAATACGCACGTCGCCTCAGGTTCGAAGGATACAACAATTAGAGTGTGGGATATTAAGAGTACATCCACTGTCCATATTCTTCAAGGCCACACAGCTGCTGTCCTTTCTGTCGTCTTCTCCTCTGATGGTAAACATATCGTTTCGGGCTCCAAGGATAAGACAATTCGAGTTTGGGACACGATGACTGGGCAGGCCATTGGCGAGCCTTTTGTAGGACACACTGGCGAAATTTGGTGCGTGGGAATCTCGCTCGAGGGTAGGCACATTGTGTCCGGCTCGAGTGATTGCACAGTGAAGGTCTGGGACATGGAAAGCCGGAAAGTCGTCGCTGGCCCATTCTGGCATTCAGACTGGGTTTCGTCCGTCACCTTTTCCCCCGACGGAAGGCGTGTTGTGTCGGCATCCGAGGACCACACAATTGTCGTCTGGGACTGGAAAAACGGTGACATTAGTTCTGGGCCATATACTGGTCATGCCGGTGCTGTTAGCTCTGTTGCCTTCTCCCCTGATGGGTCACAAATCGTCTCAGGATCCGATGATAAGACTGTCAGACTCTGGGACACGTCGATTGGCAGAATTGCATCCGATCCCACTGTCAGGCACACAGATGCCGTCTCCTCCATTGCTTTCTCGCCAGATGGCAGTCGGATAGTGTCGAGTTCAAAGGATAAAACTGTCAGGCTCTGGGACACTACAACATTTGAAGCAGTTTCCGCACCCTTCGTGGGACATACAGATGATGTTAATTCTGTGGCATTTTCACCTGACGGAAGACACATCGTCTCTGGATCTGATGATAAGACCGTCATTATCTGGGATGTAAGCAGTGGTGAGATGGTATTCACGCCGTTCGCGGAGCACACCAATTCTGTCAATTCAGTCGCATTTTCTCATGACGGTACACGTATTGTCTCTGGCTCTGATGACAGGACTATTATTATCTGGGAGTGCTAAAAAAGGAGGCATTATTGCTCGACCAGAACAAGTGCACAAGGCTAGGATCCGTGGTGTTGCCTTCTCATCAGATGACAGTCTTATTGCATCGGCGTCCGTCGACAACAACGTCGTCATCTGGAGTGCTGAAGGCGGGGAATGTATTTCTGAGCCTCTCGAAGCACCTGAAGACAGCACATTTTCCCATTTTGCGCCAGTCGTATTCTCTCCTGACGGGAGATTTATTGCATCGCGTAGTTCAGACAATGATATCATTATTCGTGATGTGCATATCGACAAGATCGAAGTTAGACTGCTGAAAGGACATCGCGACACAGTCACGTCCGTTGCATTTTCACCTGACGGGGCATACCTCGTTTCCGGGTCATACGATCGGTCGCTTATTGTATGGGATGCAACCAACGGAAATATCGTTTCTGGGCCATACGAAGGCCATCCTAGTGGTGTTACCTGTGTTGCATTTTCACCGAACAGTTCTTGTATTGTTTCCTGCTCTTTCTATGGAATAATCCGAATTTGGGACGTGGGACATCAGGGTGATTCTTCTGTATCTACCGGAGTGACATCGAACAATGCAGTCCCCTCATCCGTGCCTGTGCTAGACGTCAACGAAAACTTTTCAAAGTGGATCTTAGCCGATAACGGATGGGTATTAGGACCAGGAGGCAAGTTGCTTCTGTGGCTTCCTCCTGACATTCGTCCAACTCTCTGGCGACCACAGAACACGGCCGTTTTTAGTTGCGAGTTTTCCACAAAGCTTAATTTCAGGAATGTTGCATATGGCCAATATTGGCAGGAATGTTTCAATCCAGATTTACGACTTTGACTATTACTCCCCTTTATTTTATGTATCTCCAGTATCGAGGAGGAGTCGAGGTGATACGATGATGACTGCCGCAAATGGTGTAACCAATAAAAACTAAAATTAAATCTATCAGTGGGGCTTAATCTCCATCGGACGTGTCTGCAAAGCAGGTATCTTAATTGTCCCTTAAATGAATTTCCTAGTACTCCTGGAGTCATCTTGATGTATCCAAGCGCCCTTTTATGCAGTTTTTGAGATAAGGTTCAGCACGGAAGCATTGTGAACGGTCCAAACTCAATAATCGGCATTGGCCTTGTTCGGCAAGAGTTACGTACTCACGGAGCACGTGCCGCGTCATTGTCGCGTGGCCGTCTTGACGTATCTCGACTGCTGCTGACTTTGTCTTCTGACATTGGACAGTGTGTGTCCTGTGCATGTTATGCAGCGACTAGCAACAGTCAATGATCTACGGGTGAGTATTATGTTTTAATTTATAATCTATTCCTGACGTCGTTCCTCAGGCCAGGGAATGTTACATTTGTCGTGAAGAGGAGGTGTATGACGGTGAGCAGCAGTCCACATTGCTTCCATCTTTGAGCTCATTTGACCGACTCAGTATAGAACCCGCTAAACCCCCGAAATGCTGGGTACACCCGTGCAAATGCACACTAATTGCACATGAGGAGTGTCTACTCGAATGGATCCGCGCAGCTGAGAACAACCCGGACAAGCCGTCGTCCGGCATTCTCAAGTGTCCCCAATGTGGCGCGCAGTATACGCTTGAGAGTAATAATCCACTAATTTTGAGGATTATGGACGTTGGAAGAGAACTTATGCTGAAATGTGGTAAGGTCGTAACGATAGTATCGTTAGGAGTGGGCGTCATTTCCGTTGGAACTGGTATGTTAAACCTCATTTTTATGTGGCATGTTTCTGATAATTGGATTAGGTATATATATTCTGAGGTATATTTTGTGCTTTCATTGTATCTAATCTACATATACTGACTGTAGAGCACAGTGCAGGTTATGGTGCATATGCAGTTCGACAGTTTCTCGGACCAGAAATGTACAACCTCGTCCTTGGAGAAGATATCGACAATTGGCCAGTTCCTGCGTTCCTCACTCTACCGCTCATCCCTCTAAGTCTCGTTCTGAGCCGCACAAAACGATTTAGAGACACTCTTCCTCTCGTCACCCTTATGTCGCTTTGGCCAACCGTTCCACGAATAAATGGTATTCCTCCAGGTCAAGGATTCCTTTCATTCTTAGGCCTTGGGTCCAGAACCCCTTGGATACTTCCGCGAATCAAGGAGCCGGCGAGCGTGCAAAGAATCTCAGCCGACTTGTTCAAAGATCTACTCTTCAGCTGGCCGCCTTCACCCTTCATGTTCAACATTGGCCTAAGCATTGTTCGCTCTGTATATGGCCGATCTATGGACCGTCTCCGTCGGTTTGTTCTCGGAGATGCTTTGAAGGCTGAACTAGAACAGGCTCGACGAACTACATTGCTTGATGACTTCCAAATGGAGGTGCGCATAGAAGAGGAGGAAGAGGTCGAAGAACACGATAATGAAGGGAATGACGCTCCACAAGAAGCGCAAGAACGGCGTGCTGAACCCGTTCCGGTGGAGAACCAAGCAGAACAGCTACGCGATGATAACAACGTCAGACTTGTTCTTGAAAACGCAGAGGAGGGACCAGTTCCGGTTGACGGCCGACCTGGGGAGGCGGCAAATATCCCTGTAGAACACCGACCGGAGGTTGCTAATCCCGAGCAACAGGAGCAACAGCAACAACAGCAACAGTTTGTTGTTCTCAACCCCGTGCGTCCTGCGGAGCAAGTGCTGGCAGGACGCGCACGGCAGGCGGATCCTCAGCAAAATCGCAATCAGGAGCGAGGTGCAAATGCCGAAGCTCGACTTCGCCTCCAGCTGACGGGTGCATTTATCGGAAATTTGATCGGTGGCGCCCTTATCATCCCGCCTCTCGCGAACCTCACTGGATCCCTGCTCCTGCGATTGGCTCTCCCGCGCGGCCCTCGGGCGCACGAGAGATTGAACTTTAAGGGCTATTCTCCGTATCACCCGCGCCGCTTACTGTGTCAGTTTCTCGGTGTCCGTCCTCCAGGCTCTGCACCGTATCATCCGGTTGCAGGAATGTACGCGTTCCGAGAGGATATGTCCACGGGAGAGCTAGTGCGTTCGATGTTCATGCTTTCCTGTCGGGCTCTCGTGATCGGTACTCCAGCTTGGACTGATTCCGACCCCGTCTGGTTTGTTTTGTTCCTTATTATAGTCTTGAGGCGATGAATGCTAATTACTATCCGTAGGTGGCGGAACTCCATTGGCCTTGGCATCTTCTTCGTCACGAAGGACTTGATCACCATCTGGTACCAATACCTCTCTAATCGCGAGATCCTATCACGGCAAGTAAAAGACCGGCCCTTCGATGGCATCAGCCCGAACGAACTTGATCTCAAGCCTGAATTGCGTGGTACTTTCCAAGATCCTCACAGACTTGTTTAGACGAGCTTCGGCCCTCTTTCCGCACCGCATCATTATCTAACGTCGACACGTCTAATTGCTCAGATCATATTATAGACCATGATGATACACACTACTTCCCTACCAATTCATGCAGTATGCCTTAACTTGACGCATTTGGCTAGTATATGGATTGGTCCAATCTGACAATTGGGTATCTTTGAAAACATGGGTATAATTTATACATCAAAAAGACCGAGGTGGTACTTCTCCCCTATACACTTTCATCACTGGTGTCGATAAATGCCGATCATATCCATCTAACCCAGCAAAAGCGCAAAACCCCAGAACACCCTTCAAATAGTCGATCCTTCTCACGGGTTCGGTTACCGTGTTGAGTCCGAACAATGCACATCGCTCTAAGCGAGCTTTCTCAGCCAGTCTATTGTGATGCTCGGAGAATGACTCGTCTTCTTCGTCTGGCTCTTCGTGTAGTTGGTCGTAGATTCCACCAACGACGTCTTCGGCGGTTACGGCGTAGCCGTCTGGCCCACTCGGTGGACCTTGGTGTACTATGTCGAACGCCCAGTAGCGTGGTACAGAGGGATGATATCGAAAGAGTATGCACAGTCGCTCGACGCGTGGCATGACTGCGGTCGTACGTGGTCCGTAGTATGAAAAGTGATAGGGGAAACGCGGTGCGCGGAATCTGTTATTGCGATCGCGAGGATCGTATCGCATGTCCCATAGCTGGAGTGGTTTGTCTGGTGGCTGCGCAAAGTATGTTGCAAAGTCGAGATCTTTGTGTACTCGAGGCTTTGAAGTAGTCATGCTCGACTGAGAGGTATTCGCGTTCGAGTTTAATCGATGAGAGATGAAGTGGGTAGGTTCGAGGGGTTGAGGTGAATGAGTTGTTTTAGAAGACAGAAGCGGAGTAAAGTAGTTGCAGCGCGGCTTTACGCAACTGACTAGACCTGCTTCCCGCTCGAGTGAGAGAGTCGTCTGCCGTAGGCTTTATATATTGGAGAAGAGTAGATGATGTTATCCTCTGGGCCAGAGATTCTGCGAGATGCGTGTAAGGTACTCCGCTTCATGGAAGACCCAGTGACGAGCGGGAGGGATGGTTGCTTTCACGGCCCCTACATAGCACATGCTTAAGTACTTATTGGCCTGAGCGCCTGTGCTCGATAGGCATGCTTCACATAGAAGTATCATAATCCTTGAGATCTTTAAGATAGTCGGTGGCACGGCCAGTGTATTGTACTCCTCGTCGTCAGGGAGAAGTCCCGCAGTACTGCTGATCAGGCCAAAGCGGCACTCACATTAAGTAAGAGCCGAGACTGATGGGAGGAAGGTACAGTAATGAATCCCTGAGAGAATCTGTTCAGATTCGATCCTGAGTTTGCCGGAACGAATCTTGAATAAATGCCTAGCAGGAACAGGAGTTGAGGGCCAGTCGAGTCTTATGATCGATTCCGCCGTCATTTCTATGGCCCGGACGGGTTAATTATGAGCATTGGCGAGCTGAAATTAGTACTGCTTCTTCTTTCCTGGCCTTCGAACCGGCCATCCAGACGCCCATGTATTCACGAAAGGAACGAGAAAGAATATAGCAACAGACGAGTCACCTTTTTAGAGCTCTTTGTAGCGACCAACACGTGTTCCTTCTGGGCTCAAGTTCCGGAGATGCAAAGCCAGTTGCATAGCGTCCGCTTATGACGATTATTGTTGAAGGCCTATTGATGGGTTTCCGTAGGTCTGTTCTATGTTTGAAGGAAGACAGGAAGGAAGCGACGGCCAAACAGGAGAATGCTATGAACGTGAGTTGAAACTCGAACGAAAGAAGACATCGAAGCAAGGATTTGCATGAACAGTTCGTCGATCATCATATTGCCTATTTAGTTTACAAGCTCGTTTATGTCGGAGTTTCAATTCACTTACTTTGTACCGAATTCAGAAACGGGAGGTGTAATACCCCGAAGGCACTGTAAAAAAAATCCATGGCTATTATACCTCGTTATTGTATACGATGGCCTCACGTTCATCGCTTCCCACATTGTTCGCTATAGCAACGCTCTTTGCCTGTGTGTGCGGTGAAGTGCTTCAGCAGAACGACTTTGGGAAGCGAGGAATACTATTAAAAGCTAAAACATCTCGTGTTAGGGAGCCGGAGCAAGAAGGATGACTCTGTGAGTTCAACAACATATATAAGAGCTATTTCGAACGTCGCTTTATGGGGATATAGGTTAAGTTATTTAAAGCGGCCTTGAAACGGGGTACGGTGGCCATTACAACAAAATTCCAAGTTCAGCTTGAAGTTGAGGCACACCGTTCGAAGCTCGTCCTCGTGCGTTCAATTCGCTCGGACTTAATGTCTTTGTCTTTCTAAAGGAAGTTGTATTGTTATCTACATGCGAAATTATTGACGATTTTCACTTTTGGAATTGTGTACAATAACATTGCAGTTGCGAGACTAGCTGTACATGTATAAATTTACTTCCTTAAACAAGCGCAACACTGCATCTCCCAGGAATAGGAAGGGTGAGTTTCAGAGTCATGACGTGGTCTGCATTTCCCGTAGTGTGCCGATGGATAAAGTCGATCTTCTGGTACTCCCTACCACTGTCATTCAAGTAGCACTCCGTCCTCGGCCTCCAATAACCATCGGTTTGACTCAGCATCCTGTGATAATCATTAATTAGACCAACACAGTCCGCTGGAAATTTGCTCGTGTCGATCTCAATGATATCCAAAGGACTGTGAAGCTTGGAATGGATGTTGGAGATGAGATCATATAAAGAAATAGGCTCATGCTGAGGATCCTCATTGTCTCCAAGCACATAGCCCCAAGGACCCAGAAGCACATCCATAGACGAGCTTCCAATTGCAGTTGCTGGCTGGTCTCAGAACTCGTCTTCGTCCATATTGTACGCTAATATGCATATCGTATTGTTACAGTTGCATGGATTCTTAAAGTCGCGAACTCGGGATCCACGATACGTTGGCGAGAAGATCTCATGGAAAAATGCCTGGGTTATCTTCCTTCATGTGATATTCAAAATTTGCACGTGTCATAAAGTTGAAGAAAGCAGACACTGAGTCCTCGTGTCCTTCTAGAAGCGTGTTATCGGAGCGCATTGGAACAATGTCAGATTTACTGTAGACACTGCGGCAAGGGTGGGGAACGACTCGGAATACTTTGAATACGCAGTACACGGGATTCTGTTTTGGTACTTCAGTTTATAGCCGGTGAAAAGGGAGAGTTATATTGGCGACGCTAGGTTGTACAAAGACTGAAATTAATCCGTCTTATATACACCTGTACTGTGGACATTGAGTACGTGATTGTGTGTGGCCTCAAGTGCTAAGGATAGGTTAAGCATTTTTTTCCCGAAATTTGTCTGGCCACCTATATCGGAGAGCGCAAGCGATATGTATCTTAATTGTAAACTACAGAGGGAGAAGCGTTATTACGCCTCGTCGAGGGCAGCCATACTCGTAGCCGCTAGCAACTACTGTACTAGTCTTCTCATCCATGGTAAATTTGTCAGTCACTATGCGCCCTGAGGCATGGTTGGAATAAGTCAATCTCTCGGCGCAATACGCAAACTCGAGAAGCAGATGGAGGAGCAGGGGCATGAGTAGAATAAGGCAATGGAAAAGTGTTGTTGTCTTCTTGGTGATCCAAGCTGATTACATAATGGAACCATGGTCATACACTGCACTATCATCCAGTCTTTTCTTACGGTAACGAATCCGTTCCTTCTTGTCTTAATTCTCACATGTCTACTGCACCATCTCGCATTTGGGAGCCGAAGCAAGAAGTATGTCTCTATGAGTCCAACAGTGTAGAATATAATAGCTGTATTGAACGTCACCTTATGTGGATGTAGGGCTCGGTCCCGTACCGTATTATACGGATACAGCATTTTCGTATACGGTTCCGTACCGTATCCGTATAAAAAATTTGACTCAAAAATACGGCACGTATTTTACGGGCCGTAACCGTATATAGTCTGTATAATACGGACCGTATATGCCTGTATACAATATACAGCTACTAAATGAAAGAAACTCTTGCTCTAAACATAATACTGAAGCTCTAATAAGTAGTATTCAATGTTCAGACACTTATACTAGCATTTACTAATATATTCAGCACTATTATTGTAAAAGTATGTGCAATCTGATATATATTCCAATATATAGGTACATCACATGACTCGACTTTATGACAAATATTACAGACTAAATTACATAACAAAATGTCAATAAGTCAAATTTTATACATTTCATGTAGATTAAGGCATAATATAGGTAGAATTCAATATTTCTATACTAAAGAGGTAATATCACAATGATGTAGCCCCTTACATTTCATGCTACACCTTGGTAAATGTAGCAA